ATGAACCAGCACGGCTTTGGGCCAGTTTTGTGGCCCAAAATGGATGCTCTTCAGACGCAGCATCAGTGCCAGAACTATGGCAATTCATGGTGGAATTCGCAGATCTCTCTCCGTTTCTTGGAGTATCACGTCGCAAACCGCCCCAACATAGAAGACAAGATGCTGCTACTCTGGGACGACTTCTCGGGGCACTGGACCCCAGAAGTCGTAGAGTATGCAGCATCTATCAACATTGTGCTGCATAAAGTACCACCACGATACACTTACGTCTGCCAGCCAGCAGACGTAGCGTGGAATCACCCGTTCAAGAGTAAATTGCGCAAGTTTTGGGTCGACCGACTACGACAGCAAGTCGCAGATCATCACGCTCTTGAAGTGAGTCGGGCAGCGCAGCGTCTTGGGATCACGACCCGTACTAATACTGCGTTTCGATTGGAGATGCAAGACGTAGCTCGAGAACGCGTCGCAGACATTCAGCGGGAGGCACCGAGTTCTGTCTTTCGGGTTACTCCTCCTGATAGAAATGCTATTGTGTCGTTGGTCTGTACAAGCTGGAACAGCTTGACGGCATCTATCATTGTAGGGGGGTTTGCTCGAGTTGGTATTCTTGGTGATACACGGGTACATGAATACGAAGGTGATGAAGCTAATGATGAGATTCCTGCTCTGGTCAAGGAGCTGAAGAAATTGGGGGTGGTGCGAGAAGAGCAGGACCTTACGTGCGATGAAGATGAGGACTAGATAAAGCTTTGTGTGGTCACATCTAAATCGTAGTAAGATTCCCCTACCCCATTACACATACTTGCTATCACCACAATCCCCCATGTCGGCAATGACAGGGGCGTTGCGGTACAGTCCCTAACCAAAAATGTAGAGACAGGACACGATGAAATTACCTCCACTTGGGCTTCGTATTCTACTTTCGTTTCTCTAAAATTGCGCGCGTCTGCTCAGCCTTTCATTTCGAAATCCTGCCTCCCCCTTGAGCCCCCCCCCCTCCTCCTCTCACTCCGGAACGCTTCTGCGCGGCGCCGACAGGTACTATCTCTGCTGTGACCCACCGACCTCTGTATTGTGTTTCTAACTTGAATACACACCGGCAGAAATGATGAGCGACTCAGAATCGGAAAAGAAACCAGAAGGTGGGGCTAGCGGGGCCATTTTTGCTGTCGATTCATCCGACAGCGACGAGCAGGAGATCCAGGAAATCGCGCCACGTTTTGCAAAGTGGCACGACACGTGGGACGAGTTTTTCGCGAGCCTGAGAGAGTATGAAGCACGTACTGCCCAGCTCTATCGAATTCGATCGTGCATGAAGGCGTCGGCGAGGAACGAAAAGATCAAGAAGAAGAAAAGGTGGAAGGAAAGGGAGTTGATCCCGGACGCGCTTGGCGATTACTATAAGAAGCTGGTATGCACGCATGGATGGGAGAAGAATCCTCGCGGGGAGGGACAGCGGACTGGGCACATCCACCACAGCACAAATTGTGGCGTCAACCTTTCCCCGACCGTCACGCTTTGCCCAACAACTGGCACGTGGCGGGTGCATGTGAGCACACACAACAGAACACACAACCACAGACTTCGGCGTGAGGTCTACCAAAACTACCCGGCAACCCGGCGTGTAACAGAACCCGGCATTCTGGACTTCGTTGACGAGCTTGTCAAAGCGGGCTCCAAGCCCAAAAAGATTCTCAAGTATCTCCAGGAAACAACAGG